GACTCAAAACAGCAGGTTTAAAGACAGTATTTATTTATTTATTTATTTTTAAAGATTTATTTATTTTTTTTATACAAGAACCGGGGTACAGGCCAGATGTGTGGGAGGGTGAGAGGATTCACCAGAGACAGAGCGGGGAACAGAAAAGGCAGACTGACGAAATACACTGCTGAGGGGAGCAGCAGGCGAGACAGAAGTCTGCTCGCCATGTGGGTTGCTCGGAGGCTGGCGGGGATCGAACTGGCACTGCAGAGGCTGCGGACAGCTTCACAGCACTGTGCTCAACCGCCTGCACCACCAGGGAGGCCCCAAGACAGTATTCATAAAAAAGTGACTCTGGAGTAGGAGGTTATGGGAGGGAGAGAGAAATGCGAGTTCAAGGAGTCCTTGAAGAACGCCAGTAGAAGTTAATTTCCGAATTGTAAGCGTCACTGATAATTCTTCCTAACCCCTATAGACATTTTGTTTCATATGAAACACATTTACTTGCCTTTGCTTTTTAAATTCTTTTTTTTTTTAAACTCACCAAGTTTTATATATATATATATATATATATTTAGATTTATTTTTATTTATTTATTTATACAAGCACTGGGTACATTCAGAAGCTCGGGAGGGTGAGAGAATTCACCAGAGCCAGAGCGGGGAGCAGAGCAGGCAGAAGGACCGAAGTACACTGCTGAGGGGAGCAGTGGGCAGCAGGAGAGGTCTGCGCGCCATGTGGGACCCTCCTTCGGTGGCTGGGGATTGAACTGGCGCTGCAGAGGCTGCGGGTTGAGCAACCCGGTGCTCAACTGCTGCGCCACCGGGGAGGCCCTGTTTGCTTTTTAAATTCTATCAAAATCTCTGTAAGGAAAAAAAAAAAATGTCTGTAAGGCAGGACTTGCTGCCTAATGTTAAGAGAGGACAATACTCATAAGACAGGGATAATTTAAAGGACTTTCCAAAAAGACCTCATCTGCATAATCTCCAGGAAGGAAGCTTTAGCTAGAACTACATTCTGCTCAAGGGCAGATGAAAAGCTGTGAAGTTTATGTACAGGAAAATATCCATGAAGGAAAAAACTAGCTACAGCTTGTGGATCCTTATTTTGAGGTGAATAGGCTACTAACTGTTTTATTTGCATTATCTAGGCCAGTTCTGACACTGAATGAAGTAGATTCTTTTGTTACTGTTTTTATGGATTTACATATGAACTGAATGACCAGGAGCAAACTACTTAACCTTTCTGAGACCCAGTCTTCTAATCTGTAGCAACACAACCTTTCTTTAAGTGTTTTTATTATAAGTAAATGAGCTAGTGCATGCACAGTGCCTATAATGTATTGTTGAGGATGTTATTGCTGCTGTTTGTTTCATGCTTTTAAAAGTAATTCTTTAGTGTCACAGTATATCTTAAGTAAAAGAAGAGAAATTAAATTAGATTCCAAAGCCCCTGCACTTAATTAGCCCACTAGTCCTGCTATTTTTCACAGCATGTGTTTAGTCGCATGTTCTCACCAGCTAACTCTGGCGTGGGGTGTGGCCTAGGTACTTTGACTACTACCGACTGTACAAGTCCTATGACGACCTGGTCTTGCTGAAAAACTCTCAGGAGTGGAAGATGGGATATGGTGATGGCAGTGGCAATACTGTGTATAAAAACTTCATGTACTTCAACTACTATGGCACAGCGGACATGGCCAAGGTGGACCTCTCCTCCAACACGCTGGTGCTGCGGCGGCCCCTGCCGGGAGCCACCTACAACAACCGCTTCTCCTATGCGGGCGTGCCTTGGAAGGACTTAGATTTTGCTGGTGATGAGAAGGGACTATGGGTGCTCTATGCTACCGAGGAGAGCAAGGGCAATCTGGTTGTGAGTCGTCTCAATGCCAGCAGTCTAGAAGTGGAGAAAACCTGGCACACCAGCCAGTACAAGCCGGCCCTGTCAGGGGCTTTCATGGCCTGTGGGGTGCTCTATGCCCTGCGCTCTCTGAGCACCCGCCAGGAGGAGATCTTCTATGCTTTTGATACCACCACTGGGCAGGAGCACCATATCAGTGTCCTGCTGGATAAGATGCTGGAGACGCTGCAGGGCATCAACTACTGCCCCTCAGACCACAGGCTTTATGTCTTCAATGATGGCTACCTCATGAATTATGACCTCAGTTTCCTCACATTGAAGCCCAAGCAGCCAAGACCACCAGCCAAAAGGTCCCCTGGGGCTTGGGATCCACCCAAACCCATTAAACCCAACAAGTCCTCTGGGCCCTGAGACCCAGGACAGGGCATTGGTAGATACCCCTCCTCTCCTCAGCCTCCCACCCTCCATCAAATGGCCTATCAGCCCTAATAATTGGGAGGCATTGATTTTATCTAGTTAGTTCCTTTTTATTAATATCTCAATCAGCACATTAAAGTTCTCTTTAATAATGGTCTAGGTGGATTTAATTGATTGGGAAATGAAACACTAGCTGGGAAATGTTATTCTTCTTTAACCAGAATCCTGGAATTATGCAGGAGAGAGAGTCATCTTTAAAAAAAATATCTTATATTTTATGTTTTGAGAATGGTGAATGCAGTTACTACAATTCTAGGATTCTGGGAATCAGTTTAGAAGTGTAGCTCTTGGATTTTCTCCTCTGATTCCAGTGCAGAAAACCCAGGGAGCTGGTTATTAGAGTGGGATGTAGAAGTTTTCTTTTTAAATATCTAAGATCCAGGGATTGGGGAACCTGGGGGCCAGAGAGGCAGTGTCTTGGTGTGAAACCAATGTTTCACTGTCGTGAATCAATTTAATTTTGAATGTAGTTGAGAGAGGAGTTTAGACCTGACTCCTGCTATAAACAGAGCTGCGAACAGCAGCGCATGAGGGGGTCTGTGGTGGATTGGGCTAGAGTGTCAGCCATTCCCAACAAAGAAATCTCTTGATCAACTCTCTGTGGCTTCTTTGCTCATCTTCAACACATCAAGAACATACAAGTCTGGACTCTCTGCTTATCATATACCCCTGTAAGCAGGTGGAGAACTCTGATGTAGGGCTCGGCCTAGGTACTTTGACTACCACCAGCTGTACCAGTCAAGATTTCAGACCATGAGCTCTTCACAGTCACACAGAGGATACCAGAATACTCCACACTGTCTTATGTTTATGTTAGTGGGTGGCCAAGTGGTACCCAGCGACCCCCAAAATGCACAGTCTAAAGATCCAGGCTTTTATGTACACAAAGGCAAAGCAGACTCTTAGGGTGAAAGAAATTTAATAGAATGAGTGTGCACACAGAGAGAAGAGGAGACAGGATATTACTAATATTTCCCAACAAAGCACCCCAAATTACCTATGCCCTTGTGGGCAAATGCCCAGCCAAATTGGATTGGCCTGAAGTGGTGCCTCTAAGACCCAGAAGTCTGAGACACCTTCTGGCTGGAAACCATGTGAATGGGGTTCTGAAGCAGGTCCCAGAATCGGGACAAGGAGCAAAATCAAAGTACAAGTCAAGATAAGGCGTCATCATCAGCCTCCCCTTGTGTCTCTCACCTACATGTCTCTTTCAAATGTCTCTATACATTTCTTCTTCAAGTGTCTTCTTCCGTGACTTCTTCCTAGAAGCACCAAGGTGCAGTTTGGGCTGCAGAAGCAAGAGTTCTCTCCTCCAGCCACCTGCCTTTGCTGTCCTGTAGCTTCCCCTGGCCACTCTGCTCCACCTGTCATTAAGTGGGATAGGGAACATGGTATTGCCCCTAACAGTTATACCCTCATGATACACTCACAAATATGTATCAAATCAGACTTGCATCCTCGCTTTCAGATATACAATATTTCCATCCATACCCAAACACCAGCATACACATTTACATTTTACATAGACATTGACTTTACACAGACAATATACATTTTAATATATCCACTGACAGGAAATTAATTTGCTACCTGAATAAAAATCAAACACCTTCACCATATTTCTGTGAAACGGAGAATCTGGCTTTTTGATTTCCTAAACCTGTCCTCTTAAGAATACCACTAGTAACCACCTCCACCTCTTGATTTACAGGTATCTCTACCCTTAAAGCTTTAACACAAAAGTAAGTGCTTGAGATTGGATCAAGACGTTGAAACAAATATTCATAAAAATTCTGGTATCATGATAGTTAGCAATGACTAAGTGATAAGTGAATAAAACATGTGTTGCAAGAAAAAGCTCACTCACTAGTTTGAAATATTCCTGGAGGGAATCTCCCAACCCTGTTTCTAGGACCGAATAAATCTTTTCTCACCACAGGAGTGCCCCCTCAATCAAGTGCAGAATCATAAAATCTCTAACCAGAGGAAAAACACAACTTTCCCACTTCCACTTAAGAACTTGCTCCATTTCCCAACCTTTTTCAGATCACTAAGAAAAGTAATAATCTTTCCATGGAAAAGACTCCATTCTGACTCACAGCTATATGGTTTCACCTGTGGTTTCAATAGATGTCACTTTTCCACAATAAACCTGACATCCCTACAAAAGACTCACACACAGCACCATAAAGAAATTCTCGCCCCCCCAAGTTTCTTTTTTTTTTGATTTATTTTATTTATTTATACATATAAGAACTGGGGTGCAGGCCAGAGGTAGAGGGTGAGAGGATTCACCAGAGACAGAGTGGGGGGCAGAACAGGCAGACTGACTGAAATACACTGCTGAGGGGAGCAGGGGGCGAGACAGGAGAGGTTGGCTGGGCCACGTGGGTTAGCTCCCTGGCTGGGGATCAAACTTGTGCCATAGTGGCTGGCGATAGCTTAATAGCACTGAGACTTTAACCCCTGTGCCACCAGGGAGCTCCCCCTCCACCACCCATAGTTTCATACTGAGAACTTTGTGTCCAATTTGCTGGAAATTTTTCTTATTCCTTTATGGAGACCTGGACCTTCAACTAGTCATCCTTCCCCAATTAGTCCTGGCAGAAGTTGTGAGGCTTGAGTTGACATCATAATATCTTGCTTTTGAAGCAGTGATGCTCTTAGCGGGAGGGGCAGACCTGGGAAGAGTCATCACTTGGCCACACTGAAACAAGGATGGACCAGTAGCCACAGCAGACCTCAGCAGGGTGACGTCTGGAGAGCTGGGGTGGGGGTACAACATCTGAAATTACCTGGCATAGCTTGGTCACTCATTACTTTTTGGACAAGGAAACTAGCTCGTGAGTTAAGAGCACAACACCGAGACAGAGGCCAGTGGAAACGTTTGTCTGCCCTCACCCCTTCTGTCTCTACTTCCACCTGCTCCCCAGCCAACCATCCACACAGCTCCATGCCGCATATCATCTCTCAAGCATCCAGGATGGCCCACCATGGGTGTCGTTCAGGTTTGCCTGCAGATAATAACATCCCTTCCAGTGTCACTCGAGTGATTGTGAAGACTCCAGGCCACCAGGAAGACTTTACTGTAGCTCATGACACTTCTGTGAGGCAGTTTAAGGAGAAGCTATCTGCTCACTTCAAATGCCAAATGGACCAAATAGTGCTGGTCTTCATGGGCCGCCTTCTCAAAGACCATGACACCCTGAGCCAGAGGGGCATCCTGGATGGCCACACCATCCATTTGGTCATCAAGTCCAAAAATGGCTCTAGATCCCGAATCCTTCACTCCCATAATCTGTCAACCAATGAGCCCTGCCTCCAGGACAGAAACACCAATGGAAACAGTGGAGTATGCCAGCCTGCTGGTGTGAGTCACATCTCAGGGAAAGCAGCACACTTTGTGGAGTCTGAAAGACCCAAGGAACACATCCAAGACACAGAAGTGGGCGGTACAGAGCTGGAGGTACAGAAGCTAGAGAATCCTATTGTTCAGCAGCTTCTGTCCAATGTTGACCTCATGAGACAGTTCATTTCAGATCACCCAGACATGCAACAACTGGTGCAGCAGAACCCGGAGGTCTCAAACATCCTTGAAAATTCTGAGATTCTGTGCCAAACTCTGGAACTGGCCAGAAATCTTGCCATAATTCAAGAGATAATGCAAACCCAGCAACCTGCACAGAATCTTGAACAGCCTCGGAACCCACAATCATGTCTGGGATTAGAGACAATCTCAGGTGGGGACAATGTCCTGGGTCATAGCTATGCTGATTTCAGTGACCAAGTGCTCAACAGCTTGCACGATCTCTTTGGCAGCAACATTTTCAAGGCTCTCCTGGAAGGACAAATACCAGAAGTCGATTCTTCAACCCCATCTCCACCACCATCCCAGGAACAGTGGAACCAGCTCTCACAGCTTCCTACTACTCGTGTCATCTATTCTAGCTCTCGTTCTGGTTTAACCTCGATCATCTCACCCAACACTACCCCCAACAGGGCGAACCATACTTGCAGAGTCAATACTGCCGCTCTCTCCACCAAAAGCCAGAGTCAGACATGTGCCATTCAGCAGCCAGCTGGGGTACCAGCTTTACCTAGCATAGAGCTCTCCCAGCAGTCCCAGGCAAAAGACAAACATGCCACCACCTCTTCAGATAGCTTTGACCAGAGTTCAGAGGAGGATCTCCACCCACTGGATGAACAGAGCAGCTCCCAGATCACAGGAAGCATGATGCAGTTGCTTTTGAATAATCCCAACCTGGCAGCCCAGATTATGTCATTCATGAGTATGTCCCAACTGAGTGAGCAGTGGCGGCAACCACTGCTCACCTTCCTGCAGCAGACACAGCTTTCTGACATGCTTTTATCCCTGACCAACCCCAAAGCATCACAAGCATTATTGCAAATTGAGCAGAGTCTGCAGATTTTGGCCACGGAGGCGCCTAACCTTCTACCCTGCGTTGCACCCTATCTGTGGGGCCTGGCTTGGCTTCCTGCCCCCTGTTGCAGCTACTCTGATGCAGTGCCCTGCACTGGGAATATGTCAGATATGACTGAGTCCAAAATGTCTGAGTGCTGTCATAAATGTGGAACAGTCCCTCAGAGGACGCAATCCCTCGCTGATGCCCCTTCCCAACTTCTACAAGTCCCTGAGATTCGTTACAGCAAGCAAATGGAATCTCTGCAGGCCATGGGATTTGGGAACTATCAAGCCAATCTGCAGGCACTGATTGCCACTGAGGGGGACACCAGCGCTGCTATCCACAAGCTCAAGCGATCCCAAGGATTCTAACCACCTCATCTACCTATTTGCTTGTTATTTGCCTGCCAATCCATAGGACCATCTTTTCTGACTTTCCACCATTTCTGATGCTTCCAGCCAGGATGAGTCCTGGCATAGGAGAAAACAGTCACTGCTTTCTCTACTGAATAACAGATCATTGGTCATGGCTGGAAGATCTGTCAATAAAATGGCTACACTCACTCGTCCCCATCCAAGGTTTGGCTTTGTTTCTTTTACTAAAAAGGCAATGATCTCTGTGTGACATCTCTGTGTCACATGCCATCTATCCGCAAACACACATACACACTCCACATACATACATTAATGCAGAGCTATAGTGGCATACACAGAAGCACATACCAAGATATAATTTCATGATTGTGTGTATAAGAACAAGCCTATGTAGCTTCAGATAGGTGTGCACACGTACACAAGCTTGCATAGCCATATTCACATACCTGGGCTCACAAAGTCAACACATAGGTATACACAGTCATGTGCATACACAGCTGCACACAAATATCTGGTGACACATAAAAAGACCCAGATGTGGGGAAGACAGTCATAACACCCATACCCCGAAGGGAAAATACATAAATAGACCTAGGTTATTATTCTAAGAAGGATGGCCTGGTAAGCCAGAATAGGAAAAATTCACATTTCAGCCAGGACTTGGTGAGTATTTATCCTCATGGGAGTCTCTTACTAATTGCTATTGTTACAATCGTAAAGTTTCTCTGGACAGTGACTGTTCTCTCTTTAGCACAGAGAGATACAGCTCTGCCACTCCCACTGCATCTTCCAGTCATCACAAACTCAGGCCTCTATGGGACATGCCACCTTCCAAGAAATCATATCCATTAACATCACCAATGTTTGTAGCTTGTGTTTCCTATAGTCAGCCAAGATCCCCTCTCCTGGTCTTCCAGTCTCTCCAAGAGGATCCCAGCCAATTGGCATGTATATGTAAGTGACTATTCAATTGCTAAATAATTTAACAAGTTCTAGTGGTAATTCAATAACTCAAACACTCTTTTACATATTGAATACAGTGACAAAACAAAGATCTTTAATTCATGGAGTTGAATTTTTTGATGGGGAATATAGAGAATAATATGGGAGGGGTAATGAGTGCCGTGAAGACAATTGAAGCAGGAGAAGTTATTTAAGTTATTTCAAACAGAGATAAGGGAAGGCCTCTCTGAAAACATGACAATTTAGCAGAAAGGAAAAGAATTGAGAGAATTGAACTTGCAGTTTCCTGGGAGAAGTATGTTCCAGGCAGAATGCCAAAAAAAAATTTTTTTCTCAGATTCCTTTGCTGAATTAATCTAATCTTCGACTTTAAATACTGAAGTGCCCATGATTCAAAATTTTTATCTTTACCTTTTTTATAATAATCACAAATCTCAATACTGTGCGCTGCTGATAGATTCTAGACTCATAATTTTGAGCTATCTCTCTACATATGTAAAATAGACATAGACATATGTAAAACAACTCTTTATTATTTGTCTAACGACTTTATTCCATAGTCTTTTTTTCTTAATTCACTAGTCAAATCATTCTTTTAGTTCTTCTGGTGGCTAACACTGTTTTTTAAAAGTTAAATAAAAAGTTCCTTAATCCCGCTCTCATACCCTAGATCCTACCTATCAGAAAGTCAGTAGTTTGAGAGTACATAAAGAATTCATAGCTAATGTTGAACCAGAAAGACGCCAGGAACACAGGATACTAGCAAGTAGCTGAATTTGGTTCTCAGTGGGGACACAAAGGATGATAGTGCCTTTCCTAAGTGTCCAATCTCATTGTGATTCTCCTCATGCCATGTATCGGATGTGGAAGCAGGACTCTTGAGAGAGAGGGGTCAACCCAGGTCTCTCACTAAGAAGAGGCAATTGAGATACAGGAAGTAAAGCAGGGAAAGTGTGAGGCAGATGGCGTTCCCTTACACTTGGACACCTTGGAGAAGTCTCAAGAATCCATTGTACGCTGCTGTGATGTCAGTGCTGAAGTCACAGAGAAGACCTGATGGAGTGGGTTCCGGCCCAGAAGGCTTCATGGGTGTCTGTTCAGCAAGATGAGGGTGGTTTGGAGCCCTGTATAAGAGGAAGGACGGGGCCACAGCTGATCGGTATGTATTCCCCAAATTGGGCCCTTCTTTCTGGCTTTTCCCTTCTGCTCATCAAATGTAGACCTCTTCCCCAGGTTCTCGGATTTCTCTCCTATCACCATGTCTTGAACCCATAATCTTCCAAAACCTTCCTATCCCAGGGATCTGACTGTCCCTTCCATGTGGGTCCCACAAGTTCCCTAACGCTGAGATAGTAAGGCCCCTCTCTGCCTTCCCTTTTCTACTTTTACCACTGCCCAAAAGGATGATCTTGGTCTTCCACCCCCACACCCCAGCTGTGTCCCCACAGACCTGGGCCTCCTGCTGCCCACCATGGCCAAAAGCGGAGAAACTCTGCCACAGGGCAGCCCAGTGCCAGTCCAGGATCCCCACCTCATCAAGGTGACAGTGAAGACGCCCAAGGACAAGGAAGATTTCTCAGTTACAGACACGTGCACCATCCAGCAGCTGAAGGAAGAGATATCCCAGCGCTTTAAAGCCCACCCTGATCAGTTGGTCCTAATCTTTGCTGGCAAAATCCTCAAGGACCCTGACTCACTGGCACAGTGTGGAGTGCGAGATGGCCTCACTGTCCACCTGGTCATCAAGATGCAGCGCCGCCCCACGGGCACCGAGTACCCAGCTGCTTCGGTCCCTGCCTCAGCCCCAGGCCCTGGATCCCTCCCTCAGTCCAGCCCCATTTACCCAGCAGATGGACCTCCCACCTTTAGCTTAGGGGTCCTCACAGGCCTTAGTGGACTGGGTCTGACCTCTGGCAGTTTCCCCGACCAGCAGAGCTCACTGATGTGGCAGCACGTGTCTGTGCCTGAGTTCATGGCTCAGATAATCGACGACCCCTTCATCCAGGGTCTGCTGTCTAACACAAGCCTGGTGCGCCAGCTGGTTCTTGACAACCCCCACATGCAGCAGCTCATCCAGCATAACCCTGAGATTGGGCATATTCTCAACAACCCTGAAATCATGCGGCAGACACTGGAGTTTTTACGCAACCCTGCCATGATGCAAGAGATGATGCGTAGCCAGGACCGGGCACTCAGTAACCTGGAGAGCATCCCTGGTGGCTACAATGTGCTTCGTACCATGTACACCGATATCATGGACCCGATGCTGAATGCAGTGCAGGAGCAGTTTGGCGGCAACCCCTTCGCTACGTCCGCTACTGCTAATGCCACCCCCAGCAGCAGTCAGCCTTCAAGGATGGAGAACTGTGACCCTCTCCCCAATCCCTGGGCTTCCACCTCTGAAGGCTCAGGAGGCAGGGGCGGCAGGCAGCATGGGGATCATGATGTATCTGCAATTAGAAATAGGGTTCCCAACATTCTGGGTAACATAGGCCTCTATGACTATCTCCAGCAATTACATGAGACCTCCCAGTCCCTGGGAGCCTATCTGCAGGGAACTGCATCCATCCTTAGCCCAAACCAAGAACCACCATCACAGGGAAACAGAGTTCCCCCGAGTTTGTCCCAGGACCCTGAGTCAGGCACGCCACTCCCCAAAGAGTCAGTAGCATTCAAGGGAAAGTCCTCCTGCCCAGCCTTCCTGAGACACCCCACAGGGAGAGGCACTAGACAAGATAGGGGCCACGATGGTGCAGGGAATGGCTCCACTGCCCACAGCGTCAACATGCCTGATCTTGTCTCGGGGTTGGGGGATTCTGCCAATAGGGCACCATTTCTTCCTTCACCACCATCCCCCATGGCTGCTACCCCTGGAATCCCTGAGCATGCCTGGCTGCCACCACCAGCTTATCCAAGATCTCTGAGACCAAACAGCAGGTATCAGGCCCCACAGTTGCAGGAGGAGATGCGCCGGCAGCTGCCATTGCTACTGCACCTACAGGCAGCCATGGCAAACCCTCGGGCCATGCATGCCCTGCTGCAGATTGAGCAGGGCCTTCAGATCCTGGCCACTGAGGCACCTCGCCTGCTCGTCTGGTTCATGCCTCGCCTAACGGGGCTGGCAAGTGTGGCAGGAGTTACAGAATCTGGAGAGGGAGCCCTGGTGCCTGAGGATCTCCCCATAGCCCCAGCCTCCGAGGTTCCCCTAGTGCAGGGCAATAATGAGCAGGGCCTCCATGCCACCCCCTTCCTCCAGATGCTGCAGGCCTTAGCTGGTGCCAATCCTCAGCAGCTGCAGCCTGAGACTCACTTCCGGGCACAACTAGAACAACTTAGGGCCATGGGATTTCTGAATCCTGAAGCCAATCTCCAGGCTCTCATTGCCACAGGAGGTGATGTGGATGCTGCTGTGGAGAAACTGAGGCAGTCATAGAAGGCCCAGTTATTGAGACCATATCCTCTGTGCATTCCCTGCCTAGTCCATTACCCCAACTCCCCATTCTTGAATGCAGCTGCATTATGAACCAAATTTACTATGACGCCCTTTCCTGCGGAGACCATGTTGTTCAAGTCAATGAGGAAGAACGCGAGCCAGAAACAGGGTAGGGGTGCTCTGTGTGACCTGACCACCCCTGGCTTTGTGCCATCTTGGGGCCCCAGTCTGAGCTCTGCTTATGCCTATCTTGAAATGCAATTACATCCAATCTCCAGTGTCTCTTGCTTCCTGAGTTTTCTTTGTGGGGATGGTATAGAAGAGGTGGGATGAGATTTTCTCTGCATGGATGGGGAGGGTTTGGAGGAAAAACTAAAGAGTTGAAATTAGATTCACAGGTGTAAAGAATAGAAGGGAACCGAAGGCCTATAGCTATCCTGGTGTCCTCCTTGAGGTCCCCAGGTTCTGGGCAGGATTCAGTCCAAGTTTTAAGATTCTCTAATGTTACCAAGTTCACAAAGTTACAGTGTCTAGTCATATTCAGAGAGTTGATTTCATTGCTATGGACTCTGTTCAGGATTTTGTCTTTCTTGCAACTTTTAGCTCAGAAATTGAGTACCAAGTCTGTGCCCAGCATTCTGCTGGGAATTAGAAAATCAATAAGAGTGAAAGAAACACAATCTTGCCCTCATGAACATGTGCTCTAGTAGCAGCATATGTACTATGAGTTCACTACACATAATTAAAAACAAAGTGCTATAAAGAAAAAGACAAGGGGCTATGAAGTAGCATAATGGGCTTGATCTAGGCTGGGGAGACAGGAAAGGCTTCTGTGAGCAAATCTCTGGAAAGTGCTTAAGAACGAAGTAGGTAAAGATTTGAGGGGGAGGAATATTCCAGCAGAAGTGCTGTCATGTCCAAAGGCCCAGAAGTAGGATGTGCAAAGGGTGCTCAATACTGCAGACTAAATTCTAGTTTGCATTCAGTGAAGCTTTGTTATGCGTGTTCTTCCAGGGTAAGGTGTTGCAAACCATAGATCAGGCGGCTGAAACATGACCTCCGGTACATATACATACAATGTGTCCCTGGGCTCACACTTGTCAGCATGTTATGGGGAAATACACAAACACAGGATGTACATTTCAGCTTAAATTCATCTTCACCTGGGCACATCCTATTTTGCACACATGCAAAAGCACACACCCGGAGAACAGTGTATCAAAAGCTGATCATAGAATGAGTGTGTAAACATAACATGAATCCTATCTTCCTGTCAAGGAAGGAAAAGGATCTTGATGGAGGGTACTGCTATGGTAAAACTGACCGTGGTGTGTTTTTAAACATCAGCGCCTCAGGTTGGGGTCTCAGTCTCACTAGAAGACTAGAAGTAACAGAACCCTGGAACTCTAGATACTCGGAGCAACCCTTCTTTACTTTTTAGCAACCAGCGTATGACTTAGTGATGAGACAAGTTTTTCGGCACAACTTTCTCCCACAGCTTTAGGCCTCGGTCTCTAGGTGGAACACAAACCTCCCTTCTTTTCACTCTTCACCCCAACAGTGGGGGAGTTCTCCCGATCAGAATAGTCGTTTATGGCTCCACCCAGCAAGGCGAGGGCTGTGGAGCTGCCTCTGATGAGTGAAAGCATACAGTGCTATGGTAAAATTGATGACCAGGCAGGTCTGAGAAGAAACCTCTGGGTAATGAATTTTCCTTTTTTGCCTTTTGCATGGGCCAAGGAAAGCAGGAGAATTCATGAGAAGTAAATCCTGCTGACCAGGGCAGACAACAGTTCCAAATGTAGGTGGAAAAGTCTTGGTGAGGGTGGAGACTATTCATGGAATGGATCAGTTCCTGAACAATCAGAGTCCATAGACAAGGAATTTGGATTTTATTCTAATGCTGATAAGGAAATAAACTTTGCCACTCCCATAAGAATGTCGTAGTCTAACTAAATAAACTTCAAAGATGATTATTAGCCACATGTGGTTCACATCTATTCAGAGAATACAGGATGGAAAACACAGCCCACCAGGAGGGCAGGACCAGGCATTTCTTATTGGATGGGAAATTCATTAGCAAAGCTACTTGGGTGTCATCCTTTCCTGGGGGAAGGTTCTGGGTTTCAAAAATTAAACTCACTGCATTCCTTTGAAGTAAATTGTTGGCAAGCAACACTGGAACTGTATGACTGTAATATCGAGCTCTTCATGTAGTTTTATGTATCTAATAAAACTGCTATTCAGATGGGAAAAGCTTAACCGATCACTGAGAAGAATATGGGAATGTGACATGAAATTACATCTTCAGTATATTGACGATTAATGTTTTATTGAACCTGGTTGAAGCCCTCAGTCTGACAAGGTTTTCTGGATACTGTACTTCCTCCACCGATCTGTACTTCCTCTACCACCTGTGCCTGGGCATTCAGACACATACCTGTTCCCTGTGTCTCCCAGCCAGGTGCAGATCTGACCACAGGGTGTGCCAAAGATTGGCAGTGACTGGAGTGTTGAAAGCATAGTCAATATTTAACAAATGTCTGCACTGTCCCAAAAACCTTGGGTTGCAGTTTATATGCATTATGTCCTTGAATCTTCAAAACAAATCTGTGAAGACAACGATTTTATAGATGATGAAACCTGGGCTTAAAAAGGGTACATAAAAAAGGGAAATAAGGATAAATGACTTGTTGACGGTTATGGAGTGGTAGCAAGTGGGCTATTTAACGCTACAGTTCAAGTTTCCTTTTCTTCTAAATATATTGGATTAAATAGTAACTAGTTTTATTTTATAATTATAGAAGGAATATACATACTGTGTAAAATATTCAAACAATGTCAGCTTTTCAGGAAGGTTAACCCAAGTGTTCTTCTTGTGTTAAGAACAGTGCACGGTATGAATAAGACTCCCTCACTGACACACAGTAGGTGAATGAACTTTGAAAGAACTTCCAGCTGGTGCAGGGGAAAGAGAGATTCAGGCACTGCCAGCAGAGCCTACAGGGCAGGAGATGAAGGGATGGCCCACCTTAAAGGCAGTGGGGAGGAAAAAAATCCCTGCAACTATAAGATAAGCAAAGGCGATTCTGGACAATTATTACTTGGAATACTCTTCAGCCCCTGCTACACATTTCTAGATCAGCTAAGGAAAAGCCAGAAGCATTCATTTGAATATCTGAAACTGCTGAGAGCAACTTATAGGGGAATTTCCAAAAAGGAATTAGTTTACTAATAATATTTGGATGACAGAAGTTCTGTGTTTCGGCATTTATTAGGAAAGGCCAGACTGCTGGCAGCCAAACAGCCATGAAGCTCACTTTGTGAAATGTCCTGGTCTTTTAAACTTAGAAATTACGATTTATCCATGCTTTGATACTGGCTGGATGTGGGGTATAATGATTCAAGTGAATCAAAATTTCAGAGTTTATATCAATTTCCCATAAACCATGGAGTTGTTGAAGGATCATGGAGTTGTTGAAGGATCTGCCAAGGTTTCCCACATCTGGCAGAACATCCTGAGCATGGCATTTTAGGAAGTCAAATCCTAACTTTGCAGTCTAGAATCAGACACATGGTTAAGTATATAAAAAAGCCCAAGGTAACCTGATGTATCCCTCTTCACAGTAAAGTATATATTTGCTGCAAGTCTTCGACAGATGATGGCTGAACTTTCCCACCTGGAATGTCAAAACAGTGCTTCAGAGGCTATTTACTGATTTTATAGTTAAAACAAGTCCCTTCTGTAGTGGCAAGAAATATCAGGGTGAGGCCAGACACACGGGGGTGAAAGAATTCAACAGAGACAGAGGGGAAAACAGAAAACGCAGATTTATTGAAATACACTGCTAAGAGAAGCACTGGGTGAGATGGGCGAGGTCTGCGGGCGAAGGAGGGTTTGAGGCTCTCTTTTATATTCTGCTCTTACTGGCTTTCAACCTTGGGGCACCAGTTTGCACCAGTTATCTACTGGGGTGTCTGGTCTCAGGCACCAGCCTCTGACACAGAATGTGTCCTGGCCTTGTGTCAGCATTCCTGGAGCAGGGCTGGATTTTCTGGTCAGGGTGGTTGGTTTTATGGCCTGGTTCCCATGGCTACCTTGTCAATTCCCTTATCTCTTCAAGCTTCCCAAACCTGCCTCCTGGGCAAGGAGTGGGGGCTTGGTTTTTAACCTTATTAAATTGTATTCCCACACCCTCCAAAGTGACAATTGTCTTCTTCAAACATACCTTAAATCTAATAAGTATTGTCCTAAATACCTAGACTCTGTTATTTTCTTACAACTCGTCTCACATCTGATCCTTAGAGTGAGGTCACAGTTTATCTCTCAGAGCCACTTTGTTCGCAAGTTCTTAGGAAACAGGGTGTTTCTCTTAGAATGTTCCTTAGAACCGGACTGAGATGTAATTACACTTGTCTGTCAGGCCTCAGCAATGCGAGCTGCCTACAAGACTGTGGTGAGGCTGAGTGGACTAATCATACAAATCATCATTCTGTCCACTTGAGGCTTTGATTAGCTCATGGTCGGCACACAGCAAATTAGTGGAAGTGACTAGAATCTGCATTTCCTAATCTAGTTCTTTAAGTAATGGCTTTGTTACGGGGCAGCCTTGGGGGAAGTGGGGATGACCTGGCTTGTAGAGTCTTCACCCTCACGCTTAAGAACACAGAACACAGCCCAAAGCCTACACACAGAGTAAACCAGCACAAACAGGAATTAGATAGGAGTGAGAAAAGGGAGTGGAGAAAGAGAGAGTGAATCCACAAGCTGGCGCCTGGCCAGACACACTCTGCCCTACTGCAGAGAGTGTCAGCTGAGCAGAGACTTCTCCACCCACACCCCTCCTCACCGGCGACTTAACTGCCAAAGCCACAGTCATTCTATTACGAAAATGGCTTCACTACCCAAATCTCCGGCTCAGCACCTGTTTCCTGTTTGCCCCACTCAGGATGGAGTCTGGAAGCTTCATCTTATACTATTGATTGGTTATGAGCACCACCTACTGGCTCAAAGGTTGCACCTCACGGTTCCATAGGTACACTCAGCTCTACTTATTTCCAAAACCCAAGTGCATCATTTTCCACAGTGAAGGAGGATGGTACAAAACAAATTTCTAGACAGGAGCATGTCAATATTTTTCTACTGTTATTTAAGTCAGATCATAAAGAAAGCCAGCCTCCGGGGTGTGAGACCTCTGCCCTTCCCCCGTCCGAGTCTCCAACTGTGACCTCACCACTGACATCATATTCCCCACAGCTGACCCTGGAGAAGGGCAGCTGCCACCTTATGGGAACCAGGTGGCTACAGGGCTACACTGGGAGGTGGCGTGCTTAGGGTCCTTAGGGTGTGGGTAAGGGGACATCCCTGGACAACTACTGGTCCCCGCAGCTGGGTGTGCTCAGGTCTCCATCTAGGCTGCCACAGCTCTCAGGTGGCCCTGCGTTCTGCTCTCCAGGAACTATGGCACGGGCTCGGGAAGAAGCAGGGGACAGCAGACTGGTGGCTGGTCGCGAGCCATCATCACGCATCATCAGAGTGTCTGTCAAGACCCCACAGGACTGCCAGGAATTTATGCTGGCTGAAAACAGCAGCGTCCGCCACTTTAAGAAGCAGATCTCCAGCCGTCTTCACTGTGACACTGACCGACTGGTGCTGATCTTCACCGGGAAGATCCTCCGGGATCAAGACATACTGAGCCAGCGTGGTATCCTTGATGGCACCACGGTCCACTTGGTGGTGAGGACCCACCTGAAAGGAGCTCTGCCCAGTCCTGGAACTCTTCCAGGTCCCCCAGGCCCCAGCGCCCATCGTGCTGATGCCTCCACCTCCGACAGTGCCGCCGTGCAAGCCAGGCTGGGCCGGCTGGTCCGCTGCTCCCCTGATCTGCCTGACTTCCTCAGCCAGCTGGGGCAACTCCTGGTGTCTGCCCCTGAGTCTGTAGTGCAATACCTGGAAGACCCTCTGGTGCAAGGTCTGGCAAGTGAGAAACCAGCCAATGTCAGTCACGTTCCTGAATCATCAAGGCCAATACAGAAAACTGAACCAGCTCCTAAGGCTCTGGAAAACTTGCAGAATCCAGCCCGGCAGCAGGATCTTCTGCGGGCAAATAAGCGGCGTCTGGAGGTTCTGAAAGCAGTGCCAGGTGGTGACAGTGCCATGCCTGCCATCTGCTCTGACATCCAGCAGCTCATGCTTTCCACTCTGGCCCCTCTGGTTGCCTCCAAAGGCCACAGACTAGGTTCAGAGACCTGCAGAGGAGAAGCTAGTGCTCACAGCAGGACTGACACCATCACCACCCCCTCCACAGCCTCTGCATCTTTCAGGCCATTGGCACAAGAGATCAGGCAAGAGGTCAGCGCAGGTTTAGTTGCCCAAGTCAGGGGGATGGCCTCCAACCAGGCCAATTCAGGGTTCAGGAATGGCATGTCAGACTTTGATCAGGATTCTCCCGCCCAGGGGAGCCAACAGCCTATCGGGAAAGCTACTCTAACAAGTCAGCTGAGACCCTCGCCCAATGCCTTGCGTAGAGCCTTGCACATCCTGCAGCAGAATCCAGCTTTGCTGCATTACCTGACCACTGGCAGTCCCCTGCGACATCATATGCCACTGCTTCCCATCCTCACCAACCCACGAGCGCTGCAGGCTCTGATACAGATAGAAAAGGGCCTGCAGGTACTGGCCAGGGAGGTGCCTGGGCTGGGAATTTACTTATGGGGCACAGGTAGACCACGTGGGGCTAGAGGAACTCCTGAAACTAGAGGTGGAGGACAGGACCATAGAGCAGACCTTCTGCCACCTACTTTGGCTGTTCTTCAGCTCCTCCATGCACTGGCCAGTGCCTGCTCCCAGTCTACCCAACCTCCACCATCCTCAACCCACCTCACTGAAGGCAGCTACCAGCAAGAACTGGAGCATCTTAAGGCCATGGGCTTTGCTAATCATGATGCCAACCTGCAGGCCCTGAGGGCCACAGGTGGAGACCTCCATGCGGCCATCGAGAGACTGCTGGGGGCACCGGAAGCCTAGGTTCTTCCAACTGATGCCCACGAGGCACCACTCCATGGAGATGGGAGAAAAGGAAGGGGAGGGAACTGGGAAGGGGAAGTAGCTTATTTTGGGAATTCCTACTATTCAGATCGTGTACACACTTGAAAGCCCCTCTCTTATTGCCCAAGCTCGTTCTACATTAAAAAGATTGCTTGGATCTTGTGTGTGATGTCAATTTGAGGGTAAGTGAGCAAAGAGAATATTATTTGGAAAAGGAATTGATCGTAATAATATATTGTCTCAGGTCTGTGTTTTACCCTCTCTCCTCAAATCCCTGATTTCAGAGTATTTTCCAACTTTGTGTGTGACATGAAAGAAATCCTGAATTTTTCTCAGGTTTTTACTCCTACTCAGTTCCCAGCCAACCTTATCATGGATGCAAGCCCCGGGTCTGAGTCAGGGGTACTGAGGAAGGGGGTCAGGTTTGTCTACCAGGTCTTAGCTGGTGGCCTCATGGAAATGCCAGAAATTTGCAATCCTAAGGATAAGGATATTACAAAGACACGTGGGTTCTGAGCAAACATCACGAATCTTTAACAAGTCACAACAGACTATGGTGGAGGACTATGGATGATGATTTTAGGGTTGCACTACAGTGGTGATATCTGAAGGGGGGCGAGGATCACAATGTTATCTCAACTGAAAAATTAAATAAATTTATTAAAATAATAACAAGGGATACTTTTATGTTTAACAGAAAAGGAAACACAAACATGGAGAACAGGAATGGGAAACAGTACAGTTTTAATAAGTACTACTTACATCCCAAGCACTATCTAAATATTTTAGAGTTGTTATATAATAAACGTATCATAATAACCCTGTGAAGTTATATAAAACATTTGTAAAGCAGTTATAACTTGGTTAATAATGCTTAATAAGCTATATATCTTACATGTTTTGCATTCATTAATTTATTTACCCTGCACCACAACTTGAATAGTTAGATATCAACATCATCTTCCATTTAACATTTAGCATAGCCAAGGCATAGAAAGACTGAGCAACTCCAAGGCCACAAAACTAGTTAAGCAGAAGAACCAGGATTTCAACCTGGGAACTTTGATTGTAGACTTTGGCTCTTGACGACCCAAAGTGTTGCAATTCAGAATAAATTTACTACAAATATTCTTTTTCTTTTCTACTTGGACTTATAGAGAAATATTCCCACCATGAAAGCCCAACTCCTTTGAAGAACAGAAACTAACTTGATCTTCAGTAAGTCAGAGAGACTTTTGGAGAAACAGTAAAAGTATTTGGAGCTTTGTTCAGTGGCGACATCAACATCATTGCTGATGGAGCTTATCCAAGGAGTGGTTATCGTTGATTGAAAACATTCCCCCAAAGTAAAGTGATTATTACATTTTTGGGCAAGTTGCTCAAAAGCCTCAGGATTTCAGTATGTTCAGAGTAAATATTGCTGTCTCTGATCATCTGACATTTCCTTGTCCTTTGAGTATTTCCTTTCATGTGAACATTCCTCTCCTCTTGGAGGTGAATGCATCTAGATGGCTACCATCCCAGTATACTTGTCTCCTACTTTACCTCTGCTCAGAATTCACACTGAAATCTTCCCCAAGTGAAGCAGTTTTAGAAGTCGAGTCCGAATCTCCTTGGTCCTGGCCCCATAGATGATTGGGTTGAGCACAGGAGGCACCAGCACATAGAGATTAGCCAGAAAGATGTGCACAGGCTTGGGGATTCGATTTTGCCCAAAACGATGGGTGAGGAAAGAGAAGAAGGCAGGGATGTAAAAGATTGTGATGACCCCAAGGTGTGAGCCACAGGTACTCAGAGCTTTTTGCTGGGCATCACGAGATGGAAGACGGAAGACAGCACGTAGGATAAAGCCATAGGAGATAGTAATGAGGACCGAATCCAGACCCATTGCCAGCAGGGCCACAGTCAGTCCATAAACAATATTGACAGTGATGTTGGCACAGGCCAGTCGAGCAATGCCCATATGTTCACAGTATGTGTGTGTCATTATATGGTGACCACAGTAGGGCAGTCGCTTCAACAAGAAAATGAAGGGGGAGACTATAGCCACACTACGGAATAGCCCAGCAAGGGCAATTCGGCCTATGACCGTATGGTTGAGGATGGTTGTGTATCTCAGAGGGTTGCAGATAGCCACATAGCGATCAAAGGCCATGGCAAGAAGAACCGAGGACTCCAGAGCGTAGATAGAATGGACACAAAACATCTGTGCCAGGCATCCATCAAAGGAAATCTCACCAGCTCGGAACCACAAAATGGCCAGCATTTTTGGCACAGTGGTGGAGCTGAGGGCCAGATCGGTGAGTGAGAGAAGGCAAAGGAACAGGTACATGGGTGCATGTAGGACATTGTCCAAGGCAATGACCAGGATGAGGGCAGCATTCCCAGACAGTGCTACCAGATACATGGCACAGAAGGGAACAGCAATCCAGAAGTAAGCCCATTCCAGCCCTGGAATCCCGGTGAGGAAGAGCGTGGATGGAGGACTGGCATCACTGATGTTGGGAGCTGACATTCCACTTGGCAAATCAAGAGCTCTATCCATGGGTTGACACTATGCCTGCTCTGTAACATCAGGTATGCAGATCATTTATGTGAAATGATGAGCCTTTAGTGAATTTTTTAGACTGAGAAAAATAGTTATTAACTCGTTCAAGTTCTTAAAGTACTTTACCACATAAAATCTGCTTTGTTTTCCCTTCTGCCAGTTTCTTATACTGACCAATCATGATTTAAGTTCTGTGCTCCAATCACGAAATTAAATTTTTATGCATTTGTCCAAGCTGACCCTTCAAAATTTATCTCCTATACATCCCATATATGCATTTATTAACCGTTAGTGAACCCAAGTCTAGGGATATTCCTTACATGTTTCATTCATGTCCTTTTCCAGGCCTATGGCTTTCTTCCTTTATTTCCCCCTTTTCTCTTTTTTTTAAGATTCCATGAAATTTTCTCTGCCTGGCAGAAAACTTCCCTGTCTTCTGTTCTTTAGTCATCTTTTACTTTCTGTTCATTTTTCAACTGCTTTGCAAAAGCCCATTAGTTGAAACTATGTGTTTTTGTACACTGATCATGACTGTGTCTGTACCTAGGCATTTTAATTAAACTTCACTCAATTTTGGTGACTTTCAGTAACTTATTATTGACTTTTTGACATAATGGTATAGTAACATATTCACCTTATTTTCTGTGCTTGTGATGTTTCTTATATCTACTCAATGGCTCTTTTTACACCTTACCTAAAATGCCTTCATAGAGTCTAGGCAATCTGAATATAGCTACATTTGTCATGACTGAATATCTACAGAGACTGAGCACGTACGTGGGTACAATGAAGAAGTCAAGAGACACTAGACATGCTAACTGGGGGAAACTCTCCTAACTATGGCAACATCAACCCAAAGCTCTGTACACCCACAGTGTGCTAGCTGGAGGCAGGCCAGATCAGAATGCCAAGTGCTTATAGGAGTAGATTAAGGGAGAAAATGGAGGGTCCTTTGTTGCTAACAGTAAGGACGTTCTAGAAAGGAGATCTGTTTTTGCTATGAGACACTAGTTAGTACTTATTTATACTCTCCTTTAGAAACATATTGTGTACCTAAAAGAAACCTGCTTAGGATTCTGAGAAACTTGAATTTTAATCCTGATTCTGTAACAAAATGAAGTGTGACTTTGAACAAATTTCTCTCTCCTCATCACAATCTCTGCAAAGATCAGTGACTCTTGTCATTCTCTCATCTTTACTCTGCTCATTATATGGCATCGGAAAAGTACCCAATCATTCTGTGCTTTTATTTCATCTCTAAACTGGGAATGGCATCACCTGCGCTACTAACTTCACAAGATTTTGCCACTGAGCAAAAAGTCATATTTATGTGATAAAAAATTGTACCCCAAATACTTCCTTTTTTATAAAAGTACAATTCCTTATCATCTTACAAATTCCTGAAAACAATACAGTGTGATTATTATTTGTACCATTAATCAATGGGGAAGACAAATTCCAGAGAGATGATTAATGTATTCAGGTCATAAAGTATGTCAATTGCAGAACAGAACTCAGGTTTCATGGACCCAATTCAGAGTCACATGTTTTTAACCTCACCTCAATGACCATCAATATGACCAATACCTGAATTCTTACATTTTTCAAGCAAGGCATTTTGTCTAATATCGATTCATGATGTTACAACCACTTTACTCATTATGTAAATTCCAAATGTTAAAGAGAATGAGTTCTATTTACATCAAGACTTTTGCTGATGACAGCAGCTGGTCTTGGGCTCAGTTTTGACACAGGCCCATGATTCTAGGGAAGAAAAGCTTGGATGTAAGGGCAGAGCTGGAACCACTCCCACCTTCCCCTTTTCTCTCCTACCCCTGTCTTGGCCCCTAAGGAAGATCATTTTTATTATAAGATAGCTCCTACTCTCTGACCATCTGTGGGTATGAGGACCATAAAGACCATTTTAAGAGTTGAATTCCTCTTCCTCCGCTGAGCCCTGCGAAACCAGGGCATAAGGATGCTGAGCTGTAGTGCCAGCCTAGATCACAGTGGGGTGATACTCCAAAACCTGTCACAGGGTTGTTTTGTCTTTTGTGACCCTCTCTCTGGTCTAGATTTCAATAATTTAACTCTGAATTGTTTCACAGGACAGTTGCTGAGGAGTCTGACTTCAAATACATACCTGTGTTAGAGACCCAAATTTGCATGTGGAGGATGCTGAGGCTTTAGCTCCCGTGAGATGATGTGCTGCAGGAGCGTGAGGCTGTGGGATGGAGCTGCAACTCAAGCAGGTGTTGGGTATCTGAATGCAAAGTGTTAGTGAAGAGGTGAAAACTGTGCTTCTGTGAAGGTTCGGTTGGTTGTGGTTTCGGGGAGAAGAGGGGTCCGAGTCTGTAACCTGGATTGAAATGTCAGCTCTTTTATCTGAGCTCTTTTTTCTGGGTTCAATGAATGTCTTCAACTCAGCCTGTGTTCCAGCTTCTTCCGATCAATGGGCTTAGTCAACAAGGTTATTTATAGATTCTCTCTATAATGCCCAAGTGTGAAAACCAAAGTGGTCTCCTCTAGGGAGTTGATATGTGATGCACATTATGAGAGAGAGACAGAGAAAGGATAATAATGCTAAAATAAGAAAGAAATGAGA